TTCTGGAGGCCCTGTTACGTCCGCCAGCGACCTACCAGCAAAATTTAGGCCATCGGGCTGCTTCGCGTGCTTCGAGGCGGTGGTTTTGTACTAAGTTATTTACGTCTTTCAAGAGCTTTCCTAAACTTTCGCTTCTGAAGGTGATGGTTGCGCCGCGCGTTCCGACCACAGCTCCAACTGTCCTCAATAGCTTGTCGACATTTCCACTGCAGTAGCACCCCCTAATTTGGTGTAATTTGTTATTAACATACTTTTCGGCCCGGCCGAGAAGACTGCTTTTTTGTGCATCCTTCAGAAACTGCACTGAGGTGAATGTGTAGCGTAAGCATGACCGCACATAAAGTGTGGTGCGGGCAGTACATTCGAATTTATTTTCGTTGCTTTGTAATTAAGTCGTTCCATTATCGGATACATGATTCAGCTGAAATGATATGCTCTAAATCTGCTGGAAGTCTACGCGCGCCGTCCTTATATTGTTGCAGCGACTGTTTCGTTCTGTATTCGTTATACAATTGAAACCGTCGCAAACATTTGTTACGAGGCGCTAGCATTAAGGGACGCTGCTGGTGCATATACGTGCCCTTTATCGGTGCCCCCCCCCTCCCCCTCATGGTTGAGCGGATGATTCGACACCAAGCTTCAATAAGGCCTGCTGTTTGTGAAGCGAGTGATGCGACTGTAGCATTGAAAAACTTCAAAATAATTCAGCGGTTATGGATGGTACCGTACTCCGCGGGTGGTTGTTACTAGGCACGCCACACAAGTAGAGTGGCGACATTTTTCGCGAAATTTGAAGGAAAATGGCGACTTTTGGCTCCTCGTTTGGTGAATTTCTCTCGAAAGTCAACGGCAACCCTGCTGAGCGACCTTAAAGCGTTGGTCATGTGATCGAGCGCCCGTCTTTGAGGCGGAGGGAGCGGGTTCGACTTCCAGTCAGTGCTGCCGGGTACGCACCTTGTAATGAGAGCACGACCAGGCGCTCCTTGAGTGAGATACTGGTCTGGAGAAAGCATTTCGCTTCCGCTCTCTACAGCCTTGCACTCCCGCCTCCCCACGTGACGCTGCGCTTTGCTGCCTTGTGAGAGTTGTATGGAAATAAGTATATTGTTCTGAATCTCGTTGAAAATTCGCGACGACAAATCGAGCCAAGTCTGTCTACGTAGCTCTGAAGTTGTCGTTGATGTGACACAAAACCGGTTCTCCAAACGAGATACGCGTGTAATGTCAAAAAGCGCATTTATATATCGTCCTCGCTGCGGTGGTCTAGTGGCTAAGGTACTCGGCTGCTGACCCGCAGGTCGCATCCCGGCTGCGGCGGCTGCATTTCCGATGGAGGCGGAAATGTTGTAGGCCCGTGTACTCAGATTTGGGTGCTCGTTAAAGAACCCCCAGGTGGTCGAAATTTCCGGAGTCCTCCACTGCGGCGTCTCTTATAATCATATCGTTGTTTTGGGACGTTAAACCCCACATATCATTTCTATATCGTTTATATAGTTCTCGCACGTATAGCAACACTAGAGCGTGGAAGCTAGGTGTCTTCGCAGCAGAGGGAGAAGGCATGGTAGTATAAAACATGCGCATTTTAAAATGTCTGAGTGGGATGCACAACCGGCCGGTTACGCGCACCTTCGCTATTCCTCGCACGGCCTGACGTTTTCCTTAATACGTTTGAGGAAAGCTGCCGGTGTGTGCCTAATTGTGTTCGAGTGCGACGTGTTGTAATTACTCCGTCGCAAATAAAATTCAATGCGTAGTCGTTCTTTTTTTTGTAAACGCGCTCTGTTATCGCGCCTCCGTGAAAACATACTGGGGCGTCCTTCTCAACATCTGAGTGCCACTTTCGGAAATGCTACGAGCGTCCAAATAACGTTCCCCATACCAGTGATTCGATATGCGGATGTTTCGCGCCCGGCCCAACAAAGGGTATACGAGGACGAAGTGACAGGGCTTTCCTTCTTTAGTTACATTATATTGGTGGGGCGGGTTCTACCAATCGCAGAGCATGAATGCAGCAAATAAACAAATGTGCGGCGTCAAAGAGAATGCATGCTTTCTTTTATGTTATTACACGCTGTACGCATTGTCCGCATTTCGTTTCTTCCGGAGTCTGGGATATGTTCGAGCAGTCTCCCTCGCTTTCTCCTGTCGGTTGCTGCGCCTGTGCTTCGTGTATGCGCGTGTTTTTCGTCTGCATAGAAAAGTGCGGGAATACTCTCCGGGCCAGATAAGAGTGGTGCACGGGCTACTACCGTTCGTGGCTGGCGCGGATTGCTAAATAGATTTGCGCGATAAGCCTTGTTCTCGTTTTCGTAGTTAAAGATGCACACTATATACGCACTAAATGCCTCTAGACTTGTCACTGGGCGGCGCAGTACTCTAAATATTGAAATATAATGTAAAAAAACTTATGTAAAACTTTTACACACACACACAAACACACATATACATATATAGATTATTATGTTTTCGTACGAATTATTCACAGTCATACGGTTGCTTTAATAGGGGGCTGTTCTCAGAAAGTTATTTTTTGGCCAGCCATTTTCGCTAACGATGTGTGCGATGTCAGGACTGGCTGAAATTTTCTCTTACGTCAGGCGTAGATATGAGTAGATATGAGTCTGGGTCTTTCCTAGTATATTCAGCCATATGTTACTAAATTGGGCCATATAGTTACTGACTACTACCTTATTAATGACCAAGTTATGCTCTACTACTAACTTTTTCAGCTCATCTGCACGTCATGAAAAAAAAACTGTCTGATGGCACAATAGACATAAAAATAAAGAAAAACATGTTGCCGCATTTTAACAGGCCTTGAAAACGCTACCGATCGGTAGTCCAGGCTCGCGAGAACACGCGAACCAAACATAATGGCGCCGCACGTGACCTGGAATTGGCGATTGGTCCTCAAAGTCAGCTAGAAATTGTTCTCTCGTAATTCTACAAATCATTCCATACCCAGATCACCGTGGCTACAGACTCGCGGCCATTGGTGGATTTGAACATCGCGAGCTGCGCACTTGCTTAGGCCGATGCAGCAGGTCGCCACATGAGCGCGCATGTGCTGTCGCGATAAGCCAAGCGTTGGAACAAAAGTTTGGAAGAGAGATAAAGTTCTCAAGGTCACGACGTGTGCGTGGCGTAACATTTTTCCCGCGTGCTACTCCTCCTTGCTATAAGCGTACAGCGCGCTCGTCGGGACGAGAGTAAAAAGAAAACAATTAAAGTGTGCGATAAATCTTCGCGATTCCGCTTCATTGCTTTTATGGAGTGCAGGAGCGGTAATTTCAACTTGTTACTCCTTCCGGACTGCCTGCGTTTCGTGAGCTTTTTCAGCGTCACGTGGACTGCATACTTCATCTGAAACTAGTGTTGCTGCGTAGTGGAATGAACACGACGCATGATGCGAAGCAAGGGGACATTCGTGAATGCGTGCACTGCATTAAGGGATCTTCGGGAGGTCGTTTTGTAGCGCTCTGGTTGGAACTTCTTTCTGATCACTGCAATCCGACTGGTAGCGCGCAGAGATATGCTCGTTGTCCGCGGCGTCGGAGCAGTCAGTCGCGACATCCGGTCGGTTTCCACATGGCCGCGTGAGATGCCGTGCTGCTTCCGTCAACGCGCTTTTGCCGCTGTCGGCTGGATGGTTTAGGTGTTTTCGTTATTGTGTTGCATTTTGTGTTCCTCGTGCCGATTACGAAACGTGGCAGCGTTTGCATGTGCTCACGGGGCCTTCAATTATTTTTTATTCGAGATGCACAGTGGCAGTGTCTCTAACAAACGTTGAAAGTATAGGATCATCTTCTCAAAAAACAGCGCAGCGTCTTTATTTGAGTGCTAAAATCGTATACTCTCTGGACGCTGCAATATTGCGCAGTGGTCGCTTTTCTATATCGCGCGCCAACATTTTGTTCATTTAGCGCTCTCGTTCGCCATGATGCTTCGTGGTATGGTTGATCTTCGACGGAACCCTCGGCACTCGCTGCCTTTCCTCTCACTGTTTCCGAAAGTAACCGGGCATTCGGTGTGTCTTTTCTCCGACTCGGATCTGGAGAGTAATGCAGTCACTCGAAGGACGAGATTATAGCGACCGAAATTTCCTTTCCTAACTATAAGATGTACTGAGCATGACTAAGGTTGCGGGCGCGTGGTAGTAGCTTTCTAGGTCAGCTGGCACTCCCAGAGACCGATTGATTCAGCCTAGCGTGCGCTATTACAATATTATCGGTTGGTCGCACGTGCGTGCAGACAAGTGCATGCATGACGCATGTGAAACGTCGTCGGGTTGGTACGTTCGACATCATTTTCGACACTGTAGTGCGCGTCGTGCGAATTTTCGGAATTGTGCGCATACGTATCCATGCTGTGTGCACCGGTGAAACGGCTACGTATATGCATGCAGCAATACCGCGTGTTTTTAACATTGCTCGCCAAAACTGGTATGGCGCGGCGTTCGCGGCGAACTGATGCGCGCGTCTTCGCCGTTACCGCGTGAACTTTACGAAATGCGTATGATATTATGGAACGTACAGTTTCAGTTAAATTGGTTCTGTGACGTAAATTCTACAAGACCCGGTTTCGCAATGAGGCGTGGTAAGCCATAGGGGAAGTTGTTTTTCGGCGTACATCTTTTATTCTCAACCCTCGAGATGAGGCAGTGATAAAGTCTTTCCCGTCTGGTTAACCTAAACAGCACAGCTTGGATGGTGGCGTTCCCCCGTATGCTTCTTCACAAAGTGTCGTTCTGCGTTTTTTTTTTCTTCTTTCTGCTTGCTAGATCATGATCAGTGCCTCACGTGGTTAGGCAGAGTGCCCGTTGCTATTGTAAACTACTAAACTTGGAGCTTTGGTGTGCTCTTGTGTTGAGTTTTTCACGTTGTGCTTGCTTTGAGTGCAGCGTGGGCAGCGAGTGGGTGCTAGTGCCGACTCGAAACGAACGCGCTTCGCCACGCCAGCTGCGGGGGCTGTGCGCATTGACGCTTTTGCTCCGTGCGCAGCAACGAGTTTGCGCGGGTGGTGGCGGAGGAGTACCTGCGCTTCTTCGACTTCACCGGGCGGCCCCTGGACGCGGCGCTTCGGATGTTCCTGCACCGGTTCTGCCTCATCGGCGAAACTCAGGAGCGCGAGCGCGTCCTGGTCCACTTCTCCAAGCGCTACCTTGACTGCAACCCTGGCACCTTCAAGTCTCAAGGTATGATGCCCTCCTCCCTCAAATATATCCCCGCAGGGGCGTCTACGCAACAGGCGTTTGGTGTTTGCCAACACCACGGACCCGAGCCAACGGGGAGGTTTCGACTCCCTCCCACGCCTCGCTGTGCGTGATTACACCTTTAGAGCTCCCCCCCCCCCCCCCCCCGGCAGAGGCAACACACCCTTTGGCCCCGGCTTCACGCCGACGGCACCCCTGGGCTGACCCACCCAGGGGAAATCGGCAGTCGCCTTTTCCTATCTTGCTCTTTCCTCATCTTCGTCTTTCTCTCACACTTTTTATCTGTCGTGTTGTCTTCTTTTTTCCATTTACTTACAAATTTCCTGGCGGCGAGGGTTAACCTTGTGTAGATATCCAGCCTTGGATAAATACATAAGGTTATAGCGGGGATGCATGGCTGGCGTCTTCAAGTATTTGTCCATTAGCCTTGTAGGGTCCCCTTGTTGGGATCGGTGGTGGGTGGCCACCATCGCCGCAATAAATACTCTCCGTATGGCAAATGCTTTTCCCCCCTTTTCTGATCGCTCCCAAAAAATGTGGCGCACCGAAGAAGCAATCACCCTAACCAAAACAAAGCACAGCTTCCCAAAGTATTATGTCATTCATAGTCAAAATAAGAAAGTCCAAGCGATTTCACCATTCCTAGTCTCAAAAACTCTAACGGAAGAAATTGGCCCAGGGTACAAAATCACAAAGATGAGAAGTGGCGACCTCCTATTGGAGATTCGAGACAAAGCACAATATGACAAACTATCCAGAATTGTATCATTTGGAGACACTCCTGTATCAGTGGGCCCACACAGGTCTATGAACACTGTCCGTGTAGTAATTTCTGAGGATGATCTTATCAATCCGAGCAAAAGCGAACTGTTAGAGGGATGGCAAGATGAAAACATTGGGAAGGTACAGAAAATAATGATCAGGGATGACAACAAACAGACCCTGACAAAACACATAATAATCACCATTGTAACAAGCGACCTATGAGAATCAATAGAAACCAGCTATTGCAAGCTCCGTGTAAGACCATATACTCCTAATCCTCGTAAATGTTCCAACTGTCAAACGTTTTGGGCACGGATCGCAGAGTTGCAGAGAGAGCACCACTTGTGGAATGTGGGCATCCATTCAACACATATTTGACGAATGGGCCTCAGAAGCAACTCATTGTTCAAGCTGCGAAGGAGATCACCCTGCCTATCCACGATCATGCCCCATATGGAAAAAAGAGAAACAAATAGTAGAACTCAAGGTCAAATTCAATCTATCATTCCAAGAGGCTTGTAAGCGTTTCGCACTTCACAACCCCTCTTATCCCTCCTCCGCAGATGTGACACGCCGGGGCGCCACGCCACATGTTTCTCCACTCGCGAATGTCACACGGAGTGTGGCCGCGGTCGTTCCATCAGCGCCCCCGGCTGGAGCAGCCTGTACTCCGTTGCCACCTGACAAACAGGGCCGGCAGACTACCGTGTCTGCTGGACACCGGACCACTGCAAAGGCAGTTAGGTCCGAAAGTTCTGTGAATATGCCTGCTGAGCAGGCACCACCCACCACCTCACAAGGGGTGATGGATACTAGTCCCACTCCTTCGGCGACTCAGACGCCGAAGGATAAGCGCAACTCTTTGGAGCGCGCCAAAAAAGATAAATCCGAATTACAGGGCTCCCAAAAGGCCCTGTAACCTAAGGCAACATTTTTTGTACACTCAGCACCACAAAACATTAAAATGACACAAATACTGTAATGGAACGTCAGAGGACTGTTAAGGAACCTCGATGATATCCAGGATCTTTTACACAAACATACACCAACTGTGCTGTGTGTGCAAGCAACACACTTAAAATTGAAACACACCAACTTCTTATGCAATCACATTATTTTTCGAAAGGACAGAGATTGTGCGGTTACGTCATCCGGTGGTGTTGCCATTATAGTTAATAAATGAACAGCCTGTACACATTTACTACTTCAAACATCTCTTGAGGCAGTGGCTGTTCGAGCTGTTATATTCAACAAACTAGTGACAATTTGTTGCATTTACATACCTCCGCATCACCTACTCAATAAACACGAATTCCAGTTTCTAATTGATGAACTTCCAGAGCCGTATCTTCTCCTTGGAGACTTCAACGTGCATAACAGTTTATGGGGAGACTCGCGGCGCAATGCACGAGGTCGTCTAATTGAACAATTCCTTTTTTTCTTCTGGCGCATGTCTCTTCATTCATGAAACATCAAAATACTATTACAATATCACTACCAACACATACTTGTCAATAGACCTTAGCATCTCATCTCCATCGCTTTTTGCGCTCCTCAAATGGAAAGTCCATATGGAAGTGATCACTACATAGTTCTCAGCACCACAATTGCAAATGATAGTCCTCCACAGGTTCCCAAGTGGCTCACCCAAAAAGCTGATTGGGAACAGTACCAAAAAAGTACTCTCTCAACCTTGAATGAGATGAGTGCGTTAAGCATCGAGGCTGCTGGGGATTACTTCACTGCTTTTTTGGTTGACGCTGCAACCGAATGTATTCCACAAACAAGGGAGCTGTTAGGCAAGCGACGTGTTCCATGGTGGAACGAAGAGTGTCGTAATGCGCAGAAAAAACAAAACAAGGCATGGAAGTTGCTTCGAAACTTGCCGACGTCCGACAATTTTATAAACTTTAAGAACATTAAGTCCCAAGGCAAGAGGGCGTGCCGACAAGCTAGAAGAGAAAGTTGGCATACGTTTTTATCGGGCATGACTTCATACACACAAGAGCGTAAAGTATGGAACAGTGATAGAAGAGTAGAAGGAAAACAAGCATATCCACTCCCTCTAGTAAATGCACAAAGCGACAGCTTGGAAGGCCAGGCAAACTACCTGGGCGCACACTTCGAGCAGGTTTCCAGCTCTTCACACTACTCTCCATAGTTCCAACGCTACAAGACAAGTGTAGAAAAACATAAACTAGACACAAAATGTACCAAATATGAGGCATATAATCAGTCATTCTGCTTGGCTGAGCTAGAGGCATCTTTTAATGCTGCAGCGAATCCGCCCCAGGATATGACCGTGTAATCTATGAAATGTTGAAAAACCGACCTCTAGAAACTCAAATGACCTTACTTTCCCTGTACAATGCCATCTGGTTTTCTGGCATCATTCCTCCCTCTTGGAAAGAGGTCATCGTCATTCCCATATTGAAACAGGGAAAGGATTCGTCCTCTGTTTTGAGTTACAGGCCGATCGCATTAATTAGTTGCTTTGTAAACTCTTTGCAAAGATGATAAACCGCTGACTTATACACTTCCTTGAAACAAACGGTCTACTTGGCCCGTACCAGTGCGGTTTTCGAGAAGGTAGGTCCACAATTGACCACCTGGTATGTATTGAAGCACAGATCCGAGACGATTTCATCCGGAAAGAATTCTTTCTCTCTGTGTTCTTAGATATCGAAAAGGCTTATGACACAACATGCCGCTTTGGTATACTTCGAGATCTCTCAGATTTAGGTATACGAGGTAGAATGTTGAGTACAATTGAAAGTTCTCTCAATCGGACGTTCCATGTTCGAGTAGGCACAGTCTTGTCCCGAATATTTGGTCAGGAGATGGGTGCCCCACGGTGGTGTACTGAGCTGTACTCTTTTTTTATTATCAAAATTAATTCATTTCGCCCTTCCATTCCTAGGAGTATGTTTTATTGCACTTATGTAGAAGATGTCCAGTTCGGCTTTAAGTCTTCTAACTTGGCAATGTGTGAGTGGCAGGTGCAGCTGAGTTTGAACAGGATTTCAATATGGGCTGATAAAAACGGGTTCCGACTGAATCCACAAAAAAGCACATGCGTATTATTCTCTAGAAATAGAGGCATTCATTCCACACCTCACATTGAACTACATGGCCAGCGTCTTTCAATAAACACTGCCACAAATATTTAGGCCTAATCTTGGACACCAAGCTAACTTTTATACTGCACACAAAGTATTTAAAAAAGAAGTGCTTAAAAACAATGAAAATTCTAAAAGCCTTATCACGCTCTACCTAGGTAGTGACAAAAAGTGTTTGATCAATTTGTATAGAAGCCTCATATGGACACACCTAGTATACAGGGCCATAGCCTATCAGTCTGCGACACCAACGGCCTTAAAGGTGCTCAACTCGGTCCATCACCTAGGCATTCGTCTTTCCACGGGTGCTTTTCACACAAGCCCCGGGGAAAGCTTGTACTTTGACTCGAACGAATGGTCTCTCCATTTGAAACGATCCAACCAATCTTTTGTCTACTTCCACAAGGCAACAAAGAACACCCCGTACACTCCACCATCAATGATTTGTCCAGTTCTGTCCTGTTTAACAACCGCCCTACCATAAGACAGCCCTGTGCACTTCGTGTAAGGACTCTAGCCGAAGAGACGGGCGTGCTGCTTCTTGAACACGGTTTGCCTGCTCCCGCTGTATATGTCTCGCCTTTGTAGTGGCAGCTGATAGACTGCGATAGTATACTTTTTATACAAGTCACCAAGCACGCGCCCAATGCACATATTAATACAAATTTCCTAGAACTGCAGCAAAAATACTCATGCCCGAAATGTTATACTGATACCTCAAAAACCCGCCTTTCTGTCTCCTATGCAGCAGTCAGTCCATCTTTTTTAGATGCTGGTATTCTGCATTCAAACACCAGCATTTTCACAGCAGGGCTTATGCTATACTGGTAGCTGTTAAACACATAAAACAACTAAAATTACAAAGTGCAGTAATCTACACAGATTCCCTGAGCATTGTGAAAGCCCTTAAAACACTCAAAAAGCAAACAGACCCTATTCTTATCTCCCTTCACTCAATCCTGTGCACAGTGTACGCACTCAATACACATCTCATAATCTGCTGGGTGCCAAGCCACCGTGAGATACAAGGAAATGTTTTGGCGGACCACTAGCTGCAATCGCCATCGCAACAGCTTCCAGCAGATCAATAGTGATTCC